TGAAAGAAAGGGATGACGTGAAATATGATCTGCAAAGAAAGAGCTTTCTCTGTTGAAAAAGCAGGAATTACACTTTCATTTGCCACTTTCATTTAATTTTCTTTTGGTTTCATTGAGGAAAAACAATAAACTCATCCATGCATCTTAAGTAAAAAAAAAAGTATAGAAATTTTGAAAAAAACGACATGACCATTTATTTTTAGAATGTCTTTCCTTTTTTAAAACATAAAAAAAATAATATCTTTTTATAAAAATATTACTGGTGGTGCAACCAATGTTAAATAAATATTTAGACATCATTTTATGTTTCAAATGTTATTATTTTAGACTATGTTGCTGTATTGAAGCTTTATGGCTAAATGGCACTGCTTATGTGAACTAAATCAACATTTAAAACTATGAAAAAAATACCTAGGAGGTTTTGCCTCACGGGTAATCATGTTTGAAAGCCTGTCTGGTATTGTAAGCTATTTATTTAGCTATTAAACACTTTGCATTGGGGTAAGATGAAAGAATAATACCCCAGGGCTTGAAGCACCCACAATTCAAATGAGGGGAAGATTTAGCTCAGAGCTTTAAGCCCAAGGCTACAAGTGCATGCTAGCTCATAGTCTGCTTATATAGAAGTCTTACAGACCGACATTTTCCAATTCCACAGAAAATATGTTGATATAAACGCCATTGTTAACAGTCCCAGATGCCCTCGGCAGAAGTAGATAGTACTCGTACCATGGATTGCAGAAATGGTTTCTGTTTCATAAAATGGTAGCAGCCAGCCTCCTTATGTTCCCTCCTCCTTATCAAAAGCGGGGAGCAAAAAAAAAAGAGTTAAAATTGTGTCCGTTTGTGTGAGTGAGAGCGGGAGCAACGCAGTGGTCTGTGCTTTGCCAAGTCGCAGAGAGCGCTCAAATTGGAAACGGCTGTGAACTGCTCAGCGTTATCAACAAACCATTGAGCGATTAGAATTTAGAACACCTCCTCCCTCTACGGAGGCCTTTCTTCAGTCAGGAAAACAGATAACTTCTCAGTGGTCCATGGGAGGGGATTACAAAACAGCTTCTCAGAGACACACAAGATCAGGAAGTCATGCTCATACATGTATTTTAACCTCTGCAATCTCAGCAACTGCATGTTCACACTCATGTCATCTCCTGTTTGAGATGCCACCAAGGACATAAATCAGAATTAACCTCCATATACATATAAGCCATTAAACTCTTCCACATATTATACTGAAAACCTTGTACAGACACTAGTGAAAAGCTGTCATACACACTAGTGTACTGAAATACCTTCCGTTTCCATTGAAATTTTCAGTAGTGTGTATGTGACCTTTTAAGTGTGTTTGATAGTGTTTCAGTCATGTGTCTGAGAGGTTTTTAATAGTGTGTATAAGAGCGTTTCAGTATGAAACGAATGTGTAAGGTAAAGCTTTTCACCAATTTATCAGAACAGTTTGCATTACTCTGTGTAAGAGCATTTGAGTAGGTTATATAAGACGGACATATTTTCACTACAGAGCTTTTTTCTAGTGTTTGTGCAAGGTTTTCAGTATAACATGTGAAAGAGTTTAATTTCATATGTGTATATGGAGGTTAATTCTGATTTATAACCCTGGTGGCACTCCATACTCCTGAGTTCAATGTAGCGACCTCTTCTGCCTGCTATCCACCAAACAAGACCTCATCATTTTGTCTGTTATTGTGGCCAAAAGTCATGCATCTGCCATCACGTTTTTTGTCAACTTCTTTTCCTTCAATCTGTAACTAAGCTTCCTTCAATTTCGTTTTAATGCATTAGGTTTCTATGATACCAAAACACTAAAAGAACAGTTTTTTTCACAAACAAGGAAGTAGATCTTCACTTCTTTAGCAGATGTTCTGAAACATCTAATTTCTAAAGAAATCTTCCAAGATTTTTCTATGTTTTTACATACACCTGTATGTGTGTATTAGAGCTGTCAAAGTTAAAATGTCCATGAAAATCTGTTTCAATGGCGTGCTCTATAAAAGCTACCTTTGGTCTACAGCATGGTTAAGAAACTCAGGATGACATGCTGAATGACAACTTCATTTTCAAAACCCTGCCAGATGGTTCTCTTGATAAAACCAAAGTTATCTGCCATTACTGTCAATGTGAATGATGTTATCGCAAGATTATGCAAAGTCTGAAATATCACTTGCTGGCAAAAACACACAGCCAATGCAGAGATCCTACACCCTTTGGTCAAAGGCTGACAATGTGGAATGTTTATGCCTTAATAACTCCCTGTTGCAATCGTATATGTGAGATCACATATTTTTAAGAAGTGTGAAACTTTACATGTGAAAGCATGAGTTATCTGAAATCCAAACAGTTTGTTTTGGAGTTTTGAAATAGTACAATTTGCATTTGCATGAATGCTTTTTTGATTTGTTTCTATATTGATTAAGCCATTAGAAAATAGTCCTATTATACTATGCATTTTGAACATGTATTCATACATACAAATCACAGGGTTCTGACTGAAAAACCCATGTGATTATTAATTGCAATTAAATGTCTTTATAAACTGACAGCTCTAACATAAGATAAATATGCTCTGTTGCTATGCCTCAGTCTTTGTGTTTCACTGATGCACAGACGTGTAATGGATTTGAATTTAAAGCACATGACAAAAAATAATAATAATAATAGATGAGTGATATATCACAAACATGGACATGTCTGAATACCAACTCTTTTTTTTCTAATCTTGCTGCCACCAATTCTTGTTTTGTTTTTTTCTGTTATATATATATATATATAAAGATAAAGAGAGAGATAGATACATAATAGTTTTCTTTTTTTTCAACAACAGGGCATGCTAGTAACAGAAGCTACCCCACTGTGGACACATCATGCACGCTATCCCATAAACATGACAATGAATGTGATTCGTTTTCCATAGATATATTTGCTGTTTCTCTTCTTGCCGTTGCTGGAGTCATTTTATAATATTCCTTCATCATTTATTAGCTCCTTCGCATAGGCCTTGACTCAAGCCAAATAATTATTCTTTCATCCACGCAGTGATATTAGATTAAACACTTTTGGGGCTCCTCAGCTTAAAGACTAATTAAAGACATTACTTACTTAAAGACATTACTTAGTTGCTGGCTCTCAATTGTAAAAACAAAACACAAGGATGAGTCGGTTAAGGTCCATTTAAAGTTGATGTCTCTGCATTCTTGAGTGGGCTGATAGAGGTTGATTAAATTCCCAGATTGCTTGATGCTTCGTGAAGTAAAAATGTAATTGCTGATATCAAACCTAGCTCCATTACAGTGGTTAGACTAAATGGGTCCAGTGTATCAAGCGCTACTGGGAGAGCCCAAAGCTAGACAACATCCACCTTCTGGCTTTAAATCCTTTAAACAGTTGGAGGCCACTGGGTGGACCCTCTGAGGGTGGTTTTGTCTTACCACAGGCATCTGTGAGGGCTGGCTTCAGTTCTGGCCCAAAGCTCCTGGCTTTGGTCTGAATTAGAGGATGTTTCCCAGTTAAGCTTCCATTGCCACAGATGCCAGCTTCAAAAGTCAACATGATAAAAAATAAAAAAACATTAATCCCAACAAATATATTCTGACAGCATCATGTTGCCCTATAAGCAACAACTGAATGCAATACAGGAATAAATGCTGTCTATAAAACACACTGTTAAAAACATTTTAACTTTTAAAAGTGAGAGTACACATTTTGGGAAATTTCAAGCCAAACAGCCATTTGGCAATTGCTTTGGCACAAAATGAGGGCATCTTTCCCCAATCTGCCTGTTGTGGATGGCAATGAATGGACACGGCTGTATCACTATTTCTGCTGCTTCAGAGGAAAGACAAACAAATGTGATCTCCAGACTATCAAAAATGATTTCTATTTGAAGCCAATTAGAATTGAATTCATTGTAATACAATCAAAATCCGTTCAAAATCAAGTTCACTATATTTCAGAGACATCCAATTCATACAAATCGGTTGAAAACATGTTGCTAAAATGAAAAAAAACAACAACAAAAGTTTTTTTCTTTTAAAAAGAAGAAACCTCTGGCAGGACCAGACCCAGATTCTCAAAGCCCAGATGATCAGGCCAAACCAGCTGGACGATAAGTTAAAAAAACAGAAGCACCTGAAGGCACCTGAAGAGAAAAAGAAGCACACGTTCATTCCAACGTCTCATTCACAATAAGGACAAAAATAAGGAAAATTGCAGTCATCTCAGCTGATGTCAGCATGATTATGGGATGTTTCAGGGTCACTTGAGACATCCCAAACTATAATCTTTATTGAAGAGGACTAATTTTCAAAATACGACTACGGTTATTGTTCTTAACTTTAAAGAAGATACACAAAGAGAAACACAAACAGAGCCTTGATTGATAGCTGCAAACATCTCTTTTCTTCTGTTAGTAGAAGATGCTGCAGAAATAATTGCTGCAGCATCTTATGCTTAAACATTCAGGAAGTAACCCTCTAATGTTTTTGCCTTCTGTTAGTTTACTTTAATGCCTCAAATGTCCACAAGTCTGGTGAAGGATGATCAACCATATTAGCGAAGTCTTCTTACACTTTGTTTATGACCAAAATGATGGGTCCAGATGAGTCTATTTACTCAAACACGAAACAAGAAACAGGGAATTGTTTGGAGCTTTCTCTTAAGTAGAAAAACATGCCAATCAGGTTAGTTGGTGGTTCTAAATTGACAGTAAGAGTGAATGTGAGAATACATGGCTGTTTCTCTCTGTGAGACTGACCCTGTGATGGGCATGTGACATGTTTTTGGTAGCCGGTCTGTAATGGGCAGGTGACCGGTGTGGGTGGCCGGTTTGTAAATGGCAGGTGACCAGTGTGGGTGACTGGTAATTTGCCCATCACAGGCCTCAGGAATCCTACAAAGAATAAATCACCAGACTGAAAACTGCATCAGGTCTCTGGTCACAGAAAACATGTGGAGCATTTCTCTGGCTCCCTTTTTTTGCTTTGCAGCTGTAAACTACATGGAAAGGTAAAACCCACATGGCATGATTCTATGATTAGTCTGAAAGGGTCAACTTAAACTCAAGAGCACCACCTCAAAATATTTTCTGAAGGTGCTTTGGGTTCCAGTTGTATTTGAGAAATGTAAACAGATTGTGCTCAAATCTAAAAGTCCATCAGTTCTATTAAATGTATAAGAACACAAAGCAGGAAAAATGTCAGCCGGCCATTGAAGTTACAATTCTAGATTGTTATTAAATGAAACTTGAAGGTATTGAAATAATTACTCGGCTTTCAATGGCTCTATCTGAAAAAACTGGAACGTTTTCAAAACTGCTCTTGTCATTACTATTTACTGACTCTATATTTAATCTAACTCTGGGGAGAAATACATTTTTCTCCTAATTTAATATAATTTCTAATGTAGGTTGGGAATAAACAACAACATCATATGGGGCAATTTATCTCTGAAAAGTTGTTTGGGTTAGGGTTAGGGTTAAGTTTATGCTTATTAGGCTTGTTATCCCTTAACTGATCACACAAAGACAAACCCCCTTGACGTGGTGCATTCATGTTTGATTTCTAATAAGTATTGTACAATCATTGTACATCCATTGAATTGTGTTTATTTTTCTGGATTATCCCCACTTTTGGTTCAAGTAGAATTATTAATTCCACTTTGTATTGCATCAAAGTCTGCTTCAGTGATGCCAAAAAACAAACAAAAATAAATAAATAAAAAATAAAGTTTGCATTTAGTACCTGAAGCTCTTACATATTATCTTCTAAGTTATGGGAATGACTACATTTCAAAAATAACAACAGCAGACTGACAGATTCATTAAACGGTCTGTCTGTCATAGAAACTTTCAACAAATAGGACACCATATGAATAAACAGGGCATCATATCATAGAGACTTGAAATAAGCAGAATAATCAGACGTGCTGGATATGCAGGGATTTTGTGGGCGTTCAGCCTCAAGGACCCGTGGCATCGCTCCCTACTCTGGGGACACCGCGCTGAACAGTGTAGAAGATGAAAAAAAAATCCCTGGGATTGTTCCAGCCAGTCTGGATGCGTTGTGTGTGTGTGTGTGCTGTTGAAGTTGTAAGCAGTTGTTTAATATGGTAAGATGGTGGTGACTATTTTCAGGAGCAGCTTCAGTTACATGTCTGAAGAGCTGTACCTGACCAAAAAGCTGCTGAAAATTTATGAATGGAGCACTTCTAGATTTGGTTATGAAAGTTAGTCTTCATTACCGTGTCATAAGTAAAAAATATTCTTATGTAGTCTTCTGCTCGCTGTTATCAGGTATGTCTGATTTTGTTCAACAACGATTTGAGCAAAGGTTTTACCATTAAATGATGCAACAGATTTCAGTAACCATATGTATCAAATGTGATACAAATGGACTTATAGTGTTAAAGCCTGATTCAAAAAAAGAAAATTCTCAAGTGTTTTTTTCTTTATAAAATGTGAAAAAGACATTCATTACTTATTGCTGTGTGATAGGTCAAACTCATTATTGTGTAGTCTATCAGTTATATCTGATTGTGTACAACCGGGTTCTGAGAAAACATTTTACCAATGAATGATACAAAAGGTCTCAATAGCAGAATATTTCAGAAACCGTATGTATCAAATATAATACATATTGTATGGTTAAATGTTAAAATCTTCCAATGGAAAAGTTTCCGAGAAACACTTATTTTAATCCTTAACATACAGTACTCCTATTTGAACATACAGAGAAACTTACAGCCTGCATTGCCTTCTAAATCAAAAATATATTACGAATATATCAAAGCTAAATATATATCTACTGTATATATATATATTGTCAAAATAAATAGACATTAGAAACATATGTGTTTAATGATTTGGGAAGAATTTAAGGAAAATGCGTAAAGTCTAAGCAAAAACAGGTTAAAAAACAAAATGAATTATAAAAGAAATTAGTCTGGTTTAATGTGGTTTACATATTTTATAATTTCAAACACATCTTTGCAACAATTTATACAATACGGTGTGCTGAACGTATAAATAGGTAAAAACAGCTTCAGGTTAAAAAACCCTTTGGATGATCAATAAAACTAGAAATGTGTGGTGTGAATCTTCATTTACTTTCTGCTCATAATCATGTATGAACAGAGGTGCATGGGATAGATGGAAATCGCTGAATATCAAGCATACAAATTATGTTTTGAATATAACTCCAATGCCCAGTAATATGATGTCCCTATTTTCAATTTCAAATACAAACGCTTTTGCCTTGTACCACTTTTTTGCAGATTGACACTGAACGCCTCTTGCTGTGGCTCACCAGGATGACAAGTCAGCCATCCCTCACGTCTTGTCTTCACGCCACTCCTTTTCCCCTCCCCCTTGTGTCTTTCCCATCCTTTCCGTGCATCCAGTCCATCAGTCTGTGAGTCAGTGTTTCAGAGCCGTGGGGAGTCTGGCAGCCTGTCTACCACTTCATCACTGACCTTCCCCCTCCATCTTCTCCTCCCCCTCCTCCTCCTCCTCCTCCTCCTCCTCCTATATTGTCCTTTTCCCTGCTGTCTGTCTTTTCCTCGCTCACTCATTTGCTCGCCATCTCCTCTTGACCTCTATGGTTTCGTCTTCTTTTCTTCCTATATCTCCCACTCATTGTCCGTGGCCTTTCCACTCCTGTCCTGCATTTTTCACTCTGCCTGTTGGTATTTTCCCTCTATCCATCTATTCCGCATGCAGCTGATATGTGTGACTGGCCAGCCAGCATAATAACGCTTGCTTTTTTTTGCTCATTTTCATGTTAAGTGTGGCTGTGCAGCAAAGGAAAACATGGGTTGTGAGGAATATATTCTTCAGAGTTGAATTTTTGGGTATGACATACAGATATTGTGTGGCTGTAGTGTAGAAAAAGAGTGAAAACTACGGAAGCACATGCATTTACAAAAAAGAAAATAGACACCTTATTTCATAATAATGTAAAAAGATTACAACATCATTGTAGGAGCCTAAATGCAGTTTATTTTAGTTGGAATATTTAAAATATGCTAATTCATAAGTGTTTGTTATTTAATGATTCAAAGGGATTCACTTCATTGATATTGTGTAATATATGACTTTTATTGTGACATTTAAAAACCTTTCATCAGCTAATTTACCTTCATGCCAGGGGAGCGTGGTCAGTTGGAGTCAGATGGAGCGCAATAATGTTTTTACGTCGCCCTTCCCAGGTTCCGTTGGACTTTAAAAGATTTAATTTTGTGGATACATTTTATGTTTTTTGTAATGTTGCGTTACATTTTTAAGTAAACAGTTAAAAGCAAAAAGTGGACTCGTGGATTTATTTTTTCGTTTGGATACAAGGGAGTCTGACGAGCGTGAAGTTAAAGCTCCAATAAGGACAGTAAGAACCCACAATCATGCTCTCATGATTACAAGAAAACAGTGGTGTGGTGGTTAGCACCGTTGCCTCACAGCAATAAGGTTCTGGATTCGAGTCTCCCTGCGACCACATTAGGGAATAAGCGGTAATGTATGGATAATTATGATATCCTGATCTTATAATTATGAGATTCAGGATATAAGTAAAGAAAATATGGAATAGTAGTTTATTCTAACACATTTCTATCTGATAAAAAAAAAAAGTAAAACCTTTAAAGATGCTGTTATGGTCTGTGAACACACAGACACCATCTCGGTGATAAGAAAAGTGTAACTTATGGACTGTCCGTCAGATCTGTGGGAAGGAAACTGTGAACCTTTCTTAAAATTCAAATATTTCCCACTCTTCCACTTCCACTCATAAAACACACCACCAGTGCCTGTCCTATTAGACTCTTATTGGTTATGACTTTGCTCCTAACTGTTTTATTTATTTATAGAAAATGAAGGAGAATAAAAAAAGGCAGATTCTATTGGAAATTATGACTGCAATGATCTGTTTAACTCCGTGATAGACCCCTAAGCTGCTTTATTCCTCACACACTGAGTAAGATGTGCTGTGGTTTATTAACATGCAAACAAAATAAGGGTGAGCATTTTAGGGAGATATCACGTTCCTTCATTCAGTACTGAAAAATCCATTTAGTTTTATTTAAAGATCAGATCATATTATCTTGTTAAGTGATCTTGTGGGATATAAACTGTAAAAAACATTAAGTACAGCTCCATTTTTCCTTGACTGAAAAGAAGCATTGTCAGTGTCTATGACAATATGTTATATTAAATCATTAACCCAACAGTTTCATGTCTTGGATGCAGATCCCGAAAATGTCAGAGATAAGGCCAACTCCATCTGTTTTTTAAACAAGCACAGGAACTCTTCCTGTACTCACAGGACGTGCTACTGCAGTTATGTCAAAGTTAAACATGTGATATGCATTACAAATCTCTCTTCTGTGTTTGTGAAGATGTTCCAAGTTTGTCCATTTTCTTTACTGCAGCAAGCTGCCACCATGAGCATGCTATCAAGGCGTACCTTTCTATTAAGACCCATATCAACTCAGCACAATTGCACAGAACATTCGATCAAGCTTATAATAAGATTCTGAAATGACTGTCCAAATATTACCTATGAGAAAGCCTATCTGTGGCTGTTCTTCCACCATGGGTGCCTCGACAGGGGTTTCTCCTTCTCCATTCCTCTCTGTCCAGGTCCAGCATGCTACTGTTTTTATACTAGGGGAGAGTGATTAGCCAGCTGATTCCAGGGGTGCTAATCACTTCCCCTGAGCCCTCCCCAAACCTCCCCTCCTGCAGCTGAGCGCCACGCCCCCTTCACAGTGTCCTAAGCCTAAAGACTACAGTTCTGGAATTGTGATATTCCAGAAGGAGCACTGTTGCTCCTTATAGAATATCCCCTCCTCCTGTGGGGAGAAGGCACATATCAGATCGATATCAGTTTGTGCATGTTAATGATGAGTCCTCCTTGCAGGAATGTTGTGCTTAGTTTGTAAAGATAACTAAAGTGTTTTGGTTTAAAGTGTTTTACATTTCAATAAGTGTTAACTTAACACTTATTGAAATGTAAAACCACACAAGTAGTGGTGCACTGTTTGTAATCACAATGCAAAATTGGACTTCCATTTCACATATGAACGTGACTGTGTAAAAATATTTCCCTCAACTCTTTGTCTTTGGTGTCTTCAATCTCCTTGCATGTTGATGTTAGACAAAAAGCAATCAATAGAAAGGAAAGACAAAAGCAGCTATTGTCATTATTCATGCTTGCGTGGATTGAGAAAGTTAACTTGTACAATAAGGGATGGTAAAGAAAACCAGCATAATGCTCATTCAAGAGCTGTTTCTGGCTTTATTTCAAAACTGTTTGTACAAAATCAATATGTTCAGGTGGAGAATAGCAATTGCATGAGGTTGTTGGAGAAGGGAGATTATGTGACAGGCAGCCACCTCAATTTAGTGATTATACCAACAGACAAAAAGAATATTGTTTTGAAACCTAGACGCGGTCTCTTTATTTGTAGCCATCCCTAAATGCTAAAAGTCTGAATTCTCTTTCAAGGCCATTGGTTTAATCAGCTGCTTTGGTTTCATCTCCTTGTTATTTTTGAACTCCATCATGTGAAGGTCTTACTCAATCAGACAGTTAGAAACTATTTGTACAAAATGATACCACCATTTCACTGCATGAGATTTATTTGGGAATTGCCATGCAGAACAATCTTTCAAGCTGATGGCAGCACATCTAGAGATCAACATCCAAAAAAATGACAACATACTGTGAAAGTTCAAACCAAGAACCTGCTGGGATGGGAAAGAAAACTACACACGATACAAGAGAACACAGGTTTTTATCATTGGTATTAACATTTTTGAGGCCTACAGCTTACTAAACTTAACATGTTAACAAGACAATCATATTATGTTCATTTTTCCTTCGTTCCTCTGTCTCTCTCTGTAACCCCTGTCCATCCCTCTCTCTTGTGTTTTTCATCTGTATTGTCAGGATGGCTATGACAGCCCAGATTCTTTGCTATACTATAATCACTATTACAACTTGAAGAGGAAACAGCTATGTTGAGTTTTTTTTAGGGCTAATCATGCTTTTTCCTGTTGTGTGTTAGAAGTTCAAGTAACCACACTTGTAAACTGGAAGAAAGAAAACAGGTTAGCAATTGCTAACACATATATATTAATGCGCTCATACCCTATAATGGAGTGTTTGTCACATAAACTGAGGGAGACTGACTTGGGGAGGTGTCTGTAAATACAAAAAGAGTGAAACAGGAAAGAGTGAAAGTGGTTGAAAGAAGCTACAGATGGAATCACGAAGCAAATAAAAAGGAGAGGATGTGGACAGAGATCCGAACAGCAGATCTCAATATCCTTTCCGTTTAAAGCTTTTTGACTAAAGCCAAATTCCCTGCAGTTTTGACCTTGGAAACTTTAAGAGATAACTAAGATAAAAAGTAGTTTGCCGGGCCAACCATGACCTGTGTGCCACAAATATTACCATACCACTTGTGTGTCTTCGTTTCAGATTGTCAGTCTAGTCCAGTCTTCGTTTCAGATTGTCCTCTGTCTGATCCTGTCTGGTGTTGTTGGCTGCCTGCTGATTGTTGCCTTCCATGTTTCAGCAATGGCTCCACTCTCCTCTCCATCTGGCTATGTCAGCTGCGCCTGCCTGGCTTAAAAGGTCCAGGAGTTGGAGAGAAGAATCTCCAACCTCTACCAGATCCAGGGGGCCGAGAAGCTGATGGACACCATCGTCTTCGCACCACCACACGCTGACTCAACCGGTTCATCTGTGCCTGATTTCACTGCTCCCAATACTGCTGCTGTGACCACCCCTCCTCCAGAGCCCGTTCACCATTCACTGTCCCGGTGGGAAGCCTCCTTCACCCCCAGAATCTTTCTCCTTTCATCGTGCTCCCACAACTGCTCCTCTACCCTTCATCCCAGATATCTCCTTGTCAAGGCTCTGAGATAAACCTAAGGCCCTGGCTATCTCTACTCCATCTCAGCAGGATCACTGGTCCCATATCAAGTGCCTGCACCGGGAAAACGTGGCTTCCACCACAGGCTCCTCTCTTCCACCTTCACCTGGAGAACAGATATAACATTCTTGACCTGCACGATTTCCTTCTCTTACCAGTGTCCACAGGATCCCAACCTACGTCCTCTTGGCTGGCCCATGAGTTCCGCAGCCCTCCTTCATCCCCGTCCTATCCACCTGCTGAGCCAGAGCACTCCAATACCGAGTCCCACCGGTGGTCAATACTGTCCTTCACACCTGCATCGTGCTTGCCCATGTCCCTCCCATCTTATCTCATCCTCCCTCGAAAGTTCCTCTCCATTGTCTCATCCCTCTCCGGTCATGCAGACTCCACGTCAGCTTTTCCCTCCGACAACCTTAATCATAGGCGACTCCGTTGTAAAAACGTATTGGGGTTTCCCCGGGGATCCCCGGTGCAAAGGTCCTTGACATCTTAACACATCTTCCTTCTCTGTTAAATACTTTGCCAACTGTCATACAGAGAGTTATAGTCCATGTCGGTACAAATGATACTTCCCTTCGCCAGACCGAGCTCACGAAAATTCACTTCACCCAACTTTTACATTTCTTGAAAAACTGTGAATTGTCTGCATTTATCAGCGGTCCCTTCTCCACTAATGGCCGTGGGTGTGGGCGTTTCAGCTGAGTCCTCAGTTTGCACACTTGGCTCCAGTCTGCGTGCCAAGCTAACAGCATGCCTTCATGGACAATTTTAAACTTTTCTGGAACCTTTCATCCTTTTTCAAATCAGACGGAATTCACCCGAACCACCTAAGTAGCCATGTGTCAGCGGCACACTGTTCATTCATTCACCTGTGACTGTTTGCTTCCACCTCACACATGCCCACCTCTCCCTCTGTGGTGCACTCACTGTTGACAGTCCCTCCCCAGAGCCCCCCCCTGCCGGCAACACCTGTCATCGACTCCCTCAGCCGCTGGTGTCCTCATCATTAGCTCCCTTCTCTCCAATAATCACAGTAACTTCCAACCGCTCCCTATTTGTGTCCATTACAAACAGACACCACTTTGGCAGATACACTCTCCCATCACCTGTACTTTGTCTCCTCCTGCCAGCAGCTCTGCCACCCTGTCGGCATTTATCTAGTTTACAACTCCCTGATGATCTTCAAATCATCCGGAAATCCAAACCCTCTACCTGTCAGCTTGACCCTGGCCAAATCATGCCTGCCCTCTGTGCTTCCCCTCATATCTGCCATCATTGATTCCTCACTCAACACTGGAACTGTTCCCTCATCCCTCAAAACTGCAGCTATCACCCCTATCCTGAAAAAACCTGGCTCAGACCTCAACAATTACAACAACCTCCGCCCCATCTCCAACTTACCTTTCATAACCAAAATCCTTAAAAAAGTATTCACCACCCAATTACATACCAACTTGACACAAAACTCCCTCTATTACCCATTAAATCTGGTTTCTGCCCCCACCACAGCACTGAAACTTCACAAACAATCTTAAAACTTCAGCTGATTCTGGTTCACTTTCCATCCTCATCCTCCTTGACTAGCGCAGCCTTCGACACCATCTCCCACCCCATTATCCTTAGTAGACTCTCATTGGCATCACCCGCACCCCCTTCACTGGTTTCACTATCTCTCAGGCCGCACACTGTTCATCCAGCTCAAATCCTTCAAGTCTAACCCCTCCCCTGTCACTACAGGTGTACCCCAGGGTTTTATCCTGGGGCCCCTTCCTTTAATCACATTTGACAGGGAAGGAAGTTTTTCCTTGCCTGTCACCTAGTACTTGCTCTTGGTGGGAATTGTTGGGCTTCTGTAAATAACTTCAGAGTAGGGTCTGACCTGCTCTGTTTGGAAAGCGAAGTGAGATAACTGTTGCGGATGATACCCAGCTCTAACTTTCTAGTAAACCAAACTGAACACTCTCACTCTCTTCCCTCACCACCTGCTTATCTGAAATCAAGCTAGCTGATGAGTTTCATCTGGTTTGATGGATAGATATAACTGAGTATCATCTGCATAGCAATAGTTTCCTGATAACATTACCTAAAGGAAGCATATATAACGTAAAGAGGATTGGTCCGAGAACGGATCCTCGTGGATCTGCTTACTAAAAATAAATGGTATGTATATATTTACAGAAGCACACAAAGAGAAAGCACTAGGTGACACAGGCAAGGAAAAACTTCCAAATAATTGCATGATTTCCAACTCATAAAACTAATTATTTCAATTAACCTAACCACATACATTGTTATACATTTTAAAACATACACATTTGTACTCATTACTCTCTGCTAGTCGAGACCTTTTAAGCTCTGATTTTAGGTGAGCTGAGATCAGCATAGGCGTTTTCTTTCGTTGGTTCACTTTGTCTCAAACCATCCATCCATCCATTATCGTTACCGGTTATTCCCTAATGGGGTCACGGGGAGAATTGGAGCCTATCCCAGTTGTATATGGGTGAGAGGCGGGGTACACCCTGGACAGTCCGCCAGTCCATCGCAGGGCCACACACAAAAAATACAAGGACAAACAACCAGGTACACACACATGCAGGTTTTTGGAAGCCAGAGAACCTGGAGAAAACCCACGCAGACACAGGGAGAACATGCAAACTTAACACAAAAAGGTCCTGGGAGCCAGAATCTTCTTGCTGTTAGGCGACAGTGCTAACCACCACACCACCATAGCACCCCTTTGTCTCAAACCCAACTCAGAAATGTGGGGATTATAAACATATATGTTTCTACATATATTTGATTTAGATTATTCAAAGACATGAGAAACTTATTAGATCAGTCAGTAAATATTCCAATTTCAACAAATACACTCCAATCCAGGTTCAAACCAGTTTAATCCAGCGACCAGCATGTCATTGGGGTCCTCAGCTGGGACACTTCCAGGCAGCCAGACAGTGTTCACTGGTGTAGGAGGGGGTATAAATAACAGGTAAAGATAAGAGACCCTTAATGTAATGTAAATATAGAGGATGCAGGAGGTGAAAACAGGACAATACACACTTTCAAACTCATCCAAACTGCAGACAAAAAGCCTAAAACACCAACCAAACTCAGTTTAAGGCTACCGATGCTAAATAGTTCTAAAACCCCTCCTACGAGTAATAAACAGACCCACATAGCTCCCAAAACCTACATTCATTTTCTAAACTGCATCCAACGTCATGGATGTGTGTGCATACAGCCAGTGCAGTGGAAATGGATAATTGGCTTCTATTAATTTCTTTAGCCCCAGCATGAATAAAGAGCCAATGTAAATTTGGGAGGTTTTGTGTAATCCTGAATTGGAAAAAGACATTTCTACTTTCGAGGCAAGCAGAAACGCGCACACACATGAAGCGGTTTGTGTGAGCGCCCCAGCTAAATGAGGCTTATTAACATCACCGCGGGAAAGCTCTGAATGGACTTTGGTATCCTTCACTGAATCCCAGTTTTCTCACAGTGGGACATATACAAACAAAATTACATTTGGCAAACAAACAATCTTGGACAACTGCTGATGGAAAGGGGCAGAAAAGGAACAGTGACTTCACAAAATAAAAGATGAGCCATCCCTTTGATGCCAACGTCTTCTGTGTCGGTTTGAGTAGTACAAGTCAGCTCAACAGTTGATGATGAACAAAACTGTTTCTGAAAAATGTTCACTGTCCTCTGACAGGAGCTCACAGAAGGGCTTTTGTTTCAAATACGCACTGACTCACTGGCTTTGCTGCTTTGTCTTTTGTGACATTTTTGGTCCTTAACTCATTGACTGCCAGCCATTTTCAGAACAGAGAGTCGCTCACTGCCAGAGTTTTTTGAGAATTTTGACTGATTTTTCAAGAGCCACAGAATAGTTTGTGCTATGACTATGTAAACACCGAACACACCAAAAGAGAGAGTAGACTCTCTTCTTTCATCAGGAAAAAAGATTTTGTTTCTACCTCATTCCGTTCTTCTTCGACGTGCGTCTCACCGGCGCCATTTCTCTCATAGCGAACCATTGCGTTTGTTTTTATTTGCTTACAATCTATGCTAATCTCCCATCAAAAGTGGCACAGCTACCTAGAGGGTAAATTTGTTAGTCCATACTCTGTCTAGAAGCCGATATTTACGGGAAAACTTTCGCCGATCGTCCCCCAAGCCACTCGCATTGAAAAACATAAAAGACGTCTATAGACGTCTTTGGCAGTCAGCGGTTGGATTTGAAAAGACGTCTATAGACGTCTTTGGCAGCGAATGAGTTAACAACCAGGCTAGGGAAAAAGCCTGAAAGCCTGGAATACTATTATGTTTGCAATGAGTCATATTAAGAATAATTGCTATATGACATCACCGGAAAAGGTAAACATGGTCATGGCTGTCCTACAAATGACAACAGTAGTAGAGCAGTTTTTACTGAACATTTCATATTAAGAACACTTGGTTTCTCGCACACTGATATGGCTGAAAACACATTGAATAGTACAATTAATGGAATCCTACAGGTTGAAGAAATAGGATGTTAATGGAAAATCACTGGGCAAAAGATATTGGAAATGGATTATTCGTCCCTAGAGTCAGATCTTAAAATCATCAATACTGAGGGAAAGAAGTCCCTTTCTGTCACAAAGGTTAGGCAAAGAATCTGGGATTTATGCTAATATACTCGTCTTATGTCATTCTTAGCTCAATCAAGTCCAGGTCGTTGCGAAATATCCAAATGTTATCTATTCGTACACTTTTTGTGAGTCACTCACTCTGATGTTGCTTCCCAGCTAAAATTTAGCAGAAGGTGCTCCCCAAAACGCACTTGTAGAAGGTATGCGACAACATTTAACAGGCATTTAAGAGCCTATGCTTCCAAAGGATGTTCTCTGTCTTCATGGAGACGGAATCGGGGTTGAATTTTTAGTATAGTCTTCTTCTTGGCTAAACTCCAAGAGATGATGTCTTTAGTTCAGATTTTTTGTGGATTCAGTTTGTCTTTTTTTCAAAGCAGGAGTTTGTGTGAAATGTTCATATTTTTCCTGTGTATGTATGGGTTTTTTCTACGTACCCACCTTTCCCCCACTGTGAAAAAACATTTAAAGATAATTGTTTGCAACAGTAGATGTCACAAAGATTAATATATGTAGAGAACACTGCAGTTTTAAAGACTGTCCTTGTGATAAACATTTGTTTCACCCATTCATAGAACTAATGGTTGAGCAGAACCTGGCCGAGTCTTATCATGTCTATGAAATATCCAAGCTTTATCTGAGCCTTCGTCAGAAGATCCCTGATGACCTCGAGGAATAAAATGTGTAAACTTCGAAAGGAGTGGAACTATAAGACACAATGTTGCATATCCTGGGTAATTGTTGATTATGTTTGCCTTATAAAATATACTTCAACCAAACGCAACATAGCAAAAAGCTTAATTCCTTTTTTTTTGGAAGCAGTACTTTTTTTTCACGTGATATTTTTTTTAAAAATGTCATACGTTGTGCATTTAACCAGATCATTAATCTTGCCTCGTTTGAGTACAAAAGACTAAATATAGAAGAGACGGAGAAAAATTGTGCAAACTAAGTCCAATGTGTCCGACAAGATTTTCAGGGAATGAGTATTAAAAGAAAAAGACTGAACTGTTAATCACTACAAACCTGAAACTCAAGTGTTCTGTTGATGACCTCTGTTAAATGGTGTACATTAGCCACACACTGCCTTCCAGAACCATGTCCATTTCATGTTGGAAATCTGGGTAGTTTTCATAATCAACTGGCAATTCCAAGTAGCACCCACATGTGTGGGCAGCCGGGCGCTAATGCCAAGAATCATATCCAGTACAAAAAAAACAGAGACAAAGTGACAGGTGCTGTGTTTCTGATACCCTGAAATATCGTTAAATCATCGCGATTGATTTGTCGATTTTTTTAATTCCATATATGGATTTTTGTAAAAATGGAAGTAATCACCAATGTAATCCGTGTGTTGCAGTAGGTTATGTCACTGCAGTCCTCTTGAAGAGTTCCTCAAAGCATTGACTCATATCCTAAAGAACACCAAAAATGGCCTTCATTGGGATTTCTACCAACAACACTGTTAAACTCCAAGTACACCTGAATAACATTAAATGATCTCAATTCTAATAAATTACTTAGAACTGAAAAGTCATGCATTGGACATGTAATACAGATAAGAAAAAAGATAACCTTTTCCATCCTTACCTTATTATCTGAATGGAAATGTCATCCTGACACTTTTATCCCAAAAATGTGAAATGAGTTGTTGAAGGATCTGGCCACAGTTAAGAACAAGAATTCTCTCCATTCTTTCACCTGGAACCATGGGACCCTGTGGGGTATTTGGGGTATTAAAGATCAGAGGAGAAGTCACAGGGTTAGTTGACTTCGGTGGTATTTATTGCTTCAGGCTCATTGGGAGATGTGGTTAGACAAGCATGGCTGGAAAAGGGTGCATCTGGTGTGTTTAAAACGTGTACAACTCTTTTGATCTCCGGTTGGGAGTCCGTGTTAGTCTCTTTTCTGTAGTTGCTAAGTGAAAACGAAGAAGATGTTGTTATTATCAACTGTAGTCTGGTCATCTAATGAATGTTCCTGAAAATCTTTTAAATTAATCACAAAGTCTGCGATGGCACCCTCTGCATTTCTTTGCCCAGGAAGATAACTCAATTGCCTTTTCAATCAGTTCTTTTTTGCAACTTTTCAAGCAGTTTTTTCTTGCTAATCCACTTTTCTTAGCTTTTAGTTGGAAAAAAAACTTTCCATGCAAAAAATGCAATATATGAATAAAATAAATTCAAGAAAACCTTTCTCAACCTTTATCCCACTCGTCTGTGCATCCCTGTAACATTCTCACAATCATTAGTTTGGTTTCTTGATATCTTGGCCTTCAGTTGCTCGAAAAACATTAGATTTACAGCTAACATTATCTTCCTTCCATCTGCAATATCTAAGAACTGCCAGGCGGTCACCAGAAGATGGCTGATAGGCTTTGAGCTGCTCATCTGTCATAAGCAGGATGACACACGAATCAATCTGCAAGTGAAGAAAAAAAGAATATTTGTCAAAGTTTTAGTCTTAGAGCTCAAATCATTAGAAAAAAGCAACATGAGAAATAAGTTAAATATATTTGCCTTTGCCATATCTCAGTAATATTTTTTGTCAAATGAATACTAATACATTTGGGCTATTCTCTTAACAAACTGATTATATTATCATTTTCCAGTCACTATATGATTTCCTATGAAACATTCTGTGATCTTAAGTAGTAATTTCGAACTTCCAACCAGGGAAAGGTCCACATATCAAATACATCTAGGCGGTCACCATACAGCCTTGTAGAAATTATGGTCAACTTTAATGTCTGAAGCAGTTTGTTGAGATTGCATGGACACCCTGCTTCAGAAAATTCAACAGCGGACAAGAATGATCTCATTTAGCCAGAGATGAATCTATTCATAAACGAAGGCGAACATTTTCAACACAAAATGTATTGATGATGGGGTGTTGGAGCATTGGGAACTAAATTTACCTCTAATTGCAGTCAGGTTGAAAATAATTATCCTTCTTGGTTTGTGCCTATGTTGATGTGCTTCTCTTATAGTTGAACAGTGCCTTATAAACATAAGAGTTACTTGCTGTTGCAGTATAATGTAAGTACAACACAAAAGCTAAAAGTTTAATCAAGGCAATTTGCTCAAGCCTGTGTTGTGTAAAATTATTAGTTCTTAACATCAATAGAGAAACATTTCACTTTTGTAAAAAAATTTGAGTATAACCTCACAAATGGGGAAGACATGTATAATTTAGAAATAGTACAAATTCCAAAGTAGCAGGACTGGAGTCCTTTGCAGTGACTGCCGAGGCAAACTTGAGCAGCTATAATTACACTTCGAAAAATGGAAAAGATAGTAATTTTCTTGTAGAGGAAGTGAGCCATTGTCTGGAATTTGTACAAGAGGGAAACAAGCTTGACGTTGAGGCTCGACAAGAACCGAACCCCCTGTGGCGGAAAAAGGAGAAAACCTCTGGCAGTCTGTTATTTGAGGTGGGCACGCCACCATTTATTCTCCCTGATGCAGAAACACAAACAAAACAAACAAAAACACAGGAGACCTGCTGAGCGGGGGTGCCAGGAGGCATGGAGAAAAGGGCAGGAAGCCGTTGAAGGAATTCTGGGGTTGTTCCTTGGAAAAAAGGATTAAGCAAAATGCAGGGACAGGGTCAAACAGCTACCACGTATAAAGTCGTTGAAGGAATCTGGCTCAAGGTAACCATATGGGTTGTATTTCAGAGTGCTGACTGAAAATCCCAGCGTCCTAAAGTAGGCTCCCCAGGTAACTGACCACAGGTGTGCTGAATTGAAGAGTCATTAGCTGGACAGACCTGCGATTGTGTTTTCAGGGAAGGCCTCCTGGATCTCTGCCCCACAACACTTGACAAAGGGAATCTCGCTAAACCCATTATTCAGAATTCAAGAGAATTCAGACTTTTAGCATTTAGGGATGGCCACAAATCAAGAGAGTGCATTTACATTTCAAAACAATATATATATATATATTCTTTTTTGGTATAATCACTAAATTGAGGTGGCTGCCTGTCACACATAATCTCCATTCTCTAATAACCTCATGCAGTTGCTATTCTCCACCTGAACATATTGATTGTATACATAAACAGTTTTAAAATAAAGCCATAAACAGCTCTTGAATGAGCATTATGCGCATTATGAACATTCCTTACCATCGCCCATTGTACAAGTCAACTAAATAAGGCCCAATCCACGCAAACATGATTTATGACAATATCTTCTTTTGTCTTTCCTTTCTGTGGTTTTTTGTATAATATTGACGGAAATATTTTTACACACTCAAGAACAAGTCAATGAATTTCAAGGTGTATATATAGGCTTCTACCCATGTATACCATGAATAATTTCAAGTCCTTTTACGATGAAATGTATCTCCAGGACGCAATTTAATGACTCTCTGGAAAAGAAACTAAACAAAACACAGCTCTATTCAAGTGAAAAATTAAATGTACTGAAAATTACAGTCAGTGCAAATAAAGCACTGTCTTAGAAGCAGTGTCTGGTGCTCCCTTCTCTGTCAAATTGTGATTATACTTCAGGTTGTGGATGTGGATATTTATGCATCACGTTTATGCACAAACATCCATCCAGTCAACCACCCATCCATGTATTCAGACAACCAGAAGAGGACCTGGACGATAATTTAAAACATGCACTGGAATATTCTAAAATCAACCTCGTACATTAATGCCTTAGCCAGGTCCTATTGCGTAAATTAGACTTTCATGTGACTTGTGAGTGTGAGCTTGTGGATGCTAGCTGATATGCTACTCGATTAACATGAGATGGAAGACGGAAGTTTTAAAACTCCCATCTTCCCACTATGATGGAGAGTACTCATGGTGAGTCAAAATGTAAAGTAAATTTCATAATGGATCGCCTCTCACTCACATGGATTCATAGAAGTGCCACAGGCTCTTGGACTTTGATGACGCACCACAAAAGACAGGAGTGGAGTCAAAAAGCCAACGTGTACAACTTCAGTGTGAGTAGAGTGGCCCTTGAAGTGGGAGTGTGGTTAATTGAACAAAAACAGGCAGATATGAAAGCAACAACACACAAAACAAATGTATGAGAAGACCACCAAAGAAAGGAAGTAATGTACCTCTATAAGTGATAGAGAGGAAGATAAAAACTTTGAACTTTCACTGCTGCTGATATATGAGCTGAGTAAACCAAACAGCAAGACTTGCTTTTTAATCTGATGGATGAACTAGAACAGAACATCGTATAATGAAACATTTTGCATTGCAAGCTAAAACACTACACACAGAGGTTGTAATAAGCACGTTTTTTTTAGCGATACCCTCAAATACAATCCCAAAGACAAACAATTCATACAATAGCCAGTTGTGTATTATTCTTTATATTCGATTCCAAACATGTTGTGTTCCATAGCTTTAATTCAAAGAACGCTATTCAACATAAAACCTGAACCTGTATGCAGGAAGGCTGAAAAACAAATGCTTACGTTAGGCTAGAGTATCAAGTTGGTGCTTTAACTGTTCATTCTTTGTATGCAATACAACTTCCCTCACAACCATTCAAAGCCTTGAATTTACCTGTTTAAAGTACTACAGCATCTCCAATTGACATGTTGTATGTGCAATGAACTTTGTGGCAAAGTTGCACCATGGGCCTGTCAAAGTTTTGTCCCGAAAAGGCCTCTGACCCAGACAGCAGACCAGATATGACATGGGTCA